ATAGTCAATGACTGATAATGGTTAAATAGATGAATGTTTTAATAATCAGTTGCTGTCTAATTTGGGCAGAGGAAAACAGATCAAAGGATAATTCAAACCCACACCAAACTTGCTTGGAATCTGCAAATACTGAGGATGAGAGTTTGGGAAGAAGAACTACTATATTTACAGTATTTTCACAATACACAAATACACAATACACAAATCTTCACAAATGCAATAAACAGTGAACTAGCAGAACTCCATAAATCTTTACATTAGTGTTAAGTTTTTTTAATGTGAAATCCTTACTTGAAGTGTCCCATTCTTGATCATCTTTAACTCAGTATCATAGCGGATTCTGTGAATTGGTATTTATTTTACCTGTATTTTTATTTTATTTATCAAAATTTTAAAACCAATCATCTCCCCCACAGAGTGACTCTAGGTGGTTTACAAGTAAAAAATTAAAAAAAAAACAATGTATATGAAATTTACAATCTAAAAAGGCAACTGTGGATTAAAAATTAATATTAAAAGTTAATTAAAAGGTGGGCTTTCAGGATGCTAACCTGTCCCATGGCTATATGCCAAAGAGTCATGACAAGGTGGGACGGGCTGATGTAATGAGAGGAAGATGGTTCTGTGGGTAACGTGGCCCCATGCCATGTAGGGCTTTAAAGATCATAATCAACAACTTGAATTAGATCCAGAATCAAGCTGGCACCATTCAGCTCATGCAGTAAAGGTGTTACATGTGCCATTCCTTAGGTGCCAAGATTGCCCACACAGCCATATTCTGCACCAGCTGAAGCTTCTGTATACTTTTCAAGGGTAGCCTTATGTGGAGTGCACTGCCATAATCCAAACAGGAGATGGCCAAGGCATGAGTGACTCCCTATCTGCTTATTCTCCTGTGCACTTTTGCATATCCTGCTTCTGAACATTGCATGTTAGTTGTTTAATCAATGTGTTTGGGTTACAGTTACAACTCTGGTCAATTAACTCTGGTTACAGTTACAACTCTGGTCAATAGGATTCAATTCAAAAATATAGATCAACAGGATGAAACATAATATATAAAAAGCATGGCGTGACTAAGGCCAACTCACACTCAATCAATTTCAAACTGTTATAGGCAGGCTCATTCAGTACCCAGGCCAAATGCTTGGAAGAATTATCACAGCATCATTGGTAGTCCTTGGTTAATGGTGACATCTGGGACCAGCAATTCCATCATGAATTGTGACATTCCCTGTTGTTTTTATCAGGCAAATCCCATATCATTGCAATGTCCCATAGTCATGTGATTTCCATTTGTGACCTCCTGCCCACTTCCTCATTGAAGGCAATAAAGAAGGTCACAAAGGGCCATTACCTGACCATGGAAAGCTATGATGGCCAAAATATTACAGAGCATAAGTCTCCCTCACTCAGCACCATTATAATTTTGTTTGTTTAGTAGATAAATAAATAAATAAGCTTTTGAAATGTTGTCAGCAAATAGTCATTCAACAAAGACTACCTATGATCACATAGGCATCAGATAATTTACCAAAAGGATCGCCTTTGATTCTGACTTAAAGCCAAATTCAGGAAACTGCATTTACAACGAAGTTCTTTCAAGGCAGGTTTTTTTTCCATATCAGATTGGACTAATAGACCTATAAAAATCAAAGCCAAAGCTAGCAGGGAATAATAAATCTGGGGAAATATATTCAAGTTACAACTAATGTGGAAAACGCTTTCTGATTTTGTCTATGGAGATTCTAAGTCATCCAGGTCATGGTTGTTGCAAAGGTACTTTTTCAAGAGGCAACTGGACTTCCTTGTTTTTCTTTGAAGACATTTCGCTTCTCATCCAAGAAGCTTCTTCAGCTCTGACTGGATGGTGGAGAGTGGAAGGATTTATATTCCTTGAAGAGAGGTAATCATCTGCATTCTTTTAAAGAGTTGTTGGATTTGTCTGTGTTCTCAGGGTCATCTGAGTAGTGCAAATGGGTGTGGAGCCTTCTTGGAACTGCTGAAAGGACTGTGTTGTGGAGCTTTGCTTTCTACAAGATGTTTTCTGCTCTGTGTCCCTTCACTGCTGAATACAGGCATAGGCTGTTGGGGATGAGTCTGTGTTGTCTGCATCTCGAGCTGAAGTGCAAATGGTTCCTGTAGTCTGCAATTTTTCTGGAAATTCATTCATACTCCTGTACTATTTGAAGGTCAGAGCTGAAGAAGCTTTTTGGATGAGAACCGAAATGTCTTCAAAAAAAAAAAAACAAGATAAGAAAGTCCAGTTGCCTCTTGAAAAAGCACCTTTGGGACCTTCTGATTTCATTTTTTCCTGGAATTTCATCCATTTCAGACATCTAAAAGCAATGGTCCATCATACTCCTTCAGAATTACAGTCTTAGACAACAAAACCAAAATATATTTTTAATAGTGCTTTGGAATGAATAGTAGAGCCCTGCAAATTATTGTTCTGGCCGCGCCCTAAAGACATGGCTTTTCCAACAAGCGGGATTGGCCTAGGGAATTTTAGAGGGGTTTTTAAGGGTAATTTTAAGGGTAATTTTAACGACTAGGCCTTTACAAATATTTTCTTTTAATCTGGTTTTAATATTGATATATTTAATATTTAATATTGATATTTGTTGTAATGTTGTTTTATAAGGCTGTTAGCCGCCCTGAGTCCGGTGAGGAGAAGGGCGGGATACAAATCAAATTATAAATAAATAAATAAATAAATAAATTTAATATCCATATTCTCTTAGACGTAATATAACTGAATTAAATATTCAGTCGACATGCATAAGCTAAGATAAATAAGGTGGATCTCAGTTTCAATATAAATTATTAGATAACATCATTTTAGGAGAACAAAAAATTATAGAAATACATTTTACAAATTTGTTCTCACCAGAGAATAGTATATATTGTTTGATACATTGCTCTATTTGTTAATCAAGATTATTTTACCCTTTTCAATGATGTTATTGTTGTCTGATCATCCTGGGAGAGCTTTAGAGCAGTAGCCACTTTAGCCGAATTCACCACAATCTCTGCATTCAGTTCCCTGCATTTTGCCATGAGACGCTTTTCATTCTCATAAGACTTTTTTAGCACTGCATGGAGCTTCTCATATTCCACACGAAATTTCTCCAGGCTTTGATCTCCTGTAAGTTCACTGATGACTTCTTGGAAGTCTTTCTCCAAAGCTTCAAAGACATTTTCTTCTATTACAGGCTTATCATACCTTTCCTGTATGAGAGGAAAGCAAAACTATTATATACTAGCCAAAAATAGGTTGCTCTAGAACAGTGGTGGCGAACCTATGGCACGCGTGCCAGAGGCGGCACTCGGAACCCTCTCTATGGGCACACGTGCCGTTGCCCCAGCCAAGCCTCCCCCGTGACCCCCTCACCAGCAGCCCCCCTGGAGGAGAGTCGCCCCCGAGTGTGGCCCACACAGAGCAGCACAGCCAAGGACATGGCAGCCAGGCAGTGTAGACAAGACTCTACCCTCACGCCCCATCCTTCACAGTTGATGCTGTGGGGTGCGGGCAGAGGGCGTGGCCATGGCGCTGCTGGGCTGCCTGGGCAATCTGCAGCAGGCCCTGGAGGCAGTGAGTGGCCCTGTGGGCAGGCAGGGTGGGGGATGGGGGGGCAGAGCAGGGGCGGGGCCAGTTTTTGGGCACTCGGTCTCTAAAAGGATTGCCATCACTGCCCTAGAATGATGACATATTAGGGATTATGTATCCTCTGTGATTATGGAAATTCTGCTGTAATAATGTTTTAAAAATTTGTTTTAAATTTTTGTCTTTCAATAAATATTTGGAATATTATTTCACCATATATAATAAAGTTCTACAATTAAGCAAAACATCCCATATATGCCCAGTAGGCATATATCTTTTTAATCTAATTTTATATCTATTCATCTTAGTATATAAAATCATACATTTCATGAAGCTTCTTTTTTTACTAAGTAATTATTTCTTCAACAGTTAATGTGAGGTAAATGCATACATACATTGCTCTAGATGTAAATAATATTCCAGCTCTGACAACACTCTTTAGAGTTCTAGTAAATTTGTTCATTCTAAAAAAAAGGCCAAATTAATTCTAATTATTACCTCATTCTCCTCTATGTCCTAAATGAATTCTTCATTCTTCCCTCTTACTTCATTCTTATAATTTTAGATATGAACAAAATTGTTCATGTTGTACCCTTGTATCTGTACTGAAGTTATAGCCCACAATAAAACTATTTTTTATTCTTAAAGCTTGAAGTTTAATGGTATTTTGTTTATGATATACAACTTGATGACAGGGAAATATGAAGGAAATCAAGCTGAAGTAAAGTTTTTGTGGGCTAAGCAAAGTACTACAATTGCTTCTGTTTTATTTTTCTAGACTGAATTCATGCCAACCCCAGTTATTCAGACCATAAAACATGGTTTATAGTCCCCAGGTTAGCCCAGAGTATCAAAAAGCACAGACTGAAGCTAAATGAGTGGCAGAAGGAAAGTTTATAACATAGAACAGTTTCTGCAAAAAGCAAAAGAAAATGGGTTCATCTAAAGAAATCCCTGTAGAAAGAGCACAAACTCAGATGAAAGAAGGGGGGGAAATACAAAATAAGCGGGGGGGAAGAATGGAGAAATGAAGGAAAAAATACACTGGATTAAAACAATATTCAGGAATTTCTTTTGAACCAGAGAGTTAGGAAACAAGGTGGTACGAAGAAAAAGAAACAATAATAATAAAGAACAAAAAGGAGAGAAGCTGTGAAGTAATTAACTGAGGAAGATCTAGTATACCGAATACAGAACAAAGAAAGTCATAAATAGATGCATTTCTAAACAAAGGACATCCACAGGGGGCATCAAAAAAGAAAATATGGTGATGTCTTCAGCATAATCAAAGCTCTGGACATTCTGTGTCTGCACTGTTGATTATTTTGCTCCCCCATGTACATGCCACTGCTCTAAACTACGGTAATTTTAAACATTTTGCATTCTAATCAATGTGGAAAGATAATATATGAAAGAAGAGTGTAGCATGACTAAAGAAAGAGTCACAAATGTATACAGCAAAAGCATTACTATAGTGAGAAAATAGAAATTTGGAAATAACCAAAGGCATAGAAGAAGCAAACAGTTTAGTGCACTCTAAATATACTGCTCACAAAAATAAAGGGAACATTTTAACATGGAACTGAAGGAGTTTGCGTTCCCTTAATTTTTTTGAGCAGTATATTTTGGACCATTCTGGTCCAGGCTGATGGAACTCAAAAACATCTGAAGGATTAGAAATATAACAAGTTATAAAATTGAAAACAGAATGGAAAACAATGATTAAGAGGCATTCAGAAAAGAATGGAGCATGAAATCAATAGGCGTAACTAATGCTTCTACTTTATCACAACAAAACCATTTCCTGATAATATCCTATTTTCTTCCTTTAGCCCCAGGGGGTTGATTTCATCTCTTCCCCAGACCATGACCAAAACAGTCTTAACATCTTATTAGTTGTATTAATATAAAAATAATGTTTTTCTTTAATTTTATCTAAGCACAACTTAAGATTTCTAAAATTTAGAATGCTTTGTCATTCATTATCTTGGAATGAGGTTAGTTGACCTGTGATAGTTTTGGTTAGCGATACACATGATCTAAACTGCAGCATAAGCAGAGGTGTGTTTTGCAAGTGATAGGAAGTGTGTACATGACTCTTATTTTCCATTTACTAACCAGTCTTAATAATAATAATAAAGTTGGAAGGGAGGTTGGAGGTCATCTAGTCCAAACCCCTGCTCAGGCAGGAAACCCTATACCATTTCAGACAAATGGCTGTCCAGTCTCCCAGTGTTGGAGCATTCACAGGTTGTTCCACTGGTTAATTGTTCTAAGTGTCAGGAAGTCTCTCCTTAGTTCTAGGTTGCTTCTCTCCTTGATTAGTTTCCATCCATTGCTTCTTGTCTTGCCTTCAGGTGCTTTGGAGAATAGCTTGACTCCCTCTTCTTTGTGGCAGCCCGAGATACTGGAACACTGCTATCATGTCCCCCCTCGTCTTTCTCTTCATTAAACTAGACATACCCAATTCCAGCAACTGTTCCTTATATGTTTTAGCCTCCAGTCCTCTAATCATCTTTGTTGCTCTTCTCTGTACTCTTTCTAGAGTCTCAACATCTTTTTTACATCGTGGTGACCAAAACTGGATGCAGGATTCCAAGTGTGGCCTTACCAAGGCATTGTAAAGTGGTATTACATGTGATCTTGATTCTATCCCTCTGTTAATGCAGCCTAACACTGTGTTGGCTATTTTGGTAGCTGCAGCACCCTGCTGGCTCATATCTAAGTGATTGTCCACTAGGATTCCGAGATCCCTCTCACAGTTGCTGCTATTGAGCAAGGTACCACCTATACTATACCTGTACATTTGGTTTCTCTTGCCTGAATGTAGAACCTTACTTTTTTCACCACTGATTGTTAGATAGTGCCCAGTGTTCAAGTCTGTCCAGTTCCTCTTCTGGAGTGTTGGCTATTCCTGCCAGCTTGGTGTCGTCTGCAAATTTGATGAGTTCCCCATCTATCCCCTCGTCCAAATCATTGATGAAGATGTTGAAGAGCATTGGACAGAGCCCTAGGGCACCCCACTACACACTTCCCTCCATGTAGATGCAGTTCCATTGAGGACCATATGCTGAGTACGGCTGGTCAGCCAGCTATGAATCCATCTGGTGGTGATGCTGTCTAACCCATATTTTTCTATCTTATCAAGTAGTAGGTTGTGATCTACTTTATAAAATGCCTTACTGAAATCCAAATAAATTATATCCATAGCATTCCTCTGGTCCACTAATTTTGTCACTTGGTCAAAGAATGCAATAAGATTTGTCTGGCATGATCTGTTTTTGACAAACCCATGTTGGCTTTTAGTAATGACTTTGTTTGCCTCTAGGTGTTCGCTGATTCGTTGTTTGATTATCTTTTCCAGAATCTTCCCAGGTATTGAGGTTAGGCTGATAGGTCTGTAGTTTTCTGGATCTATTTTTTCCCTTTTTTGAAGATGGGAACTATATCAGCTCTTTTTCAGTCCTCTGGTAGTTCCCTAGTGCTCCAGGATCTTTGAAAAATATAGTTCAGTGGTTCTGAGATCACATCTGCTAGTTCCTTGAGAACCGTGGGGTGTAATCCATTTGGTCCTGGTGATTTGAACTCATCTGGGCTGGACAGGTGCTCACTTACCACTTTCTTGCCTATCTTAACTTGTGTTTCTAATCTATTTTTATGGTACTGTTTTTGATAGGCTGGACTGTTTTTTCCCTTTGGCAATAGCCTTTTTTCCCCCAAGCCCTTGCCCACTCTATTAATATTCATTTTCCTGAGTTTTGTATAGCTAAAATCTGTTTCTAACCCCAATTTATCTCATATTTAAGAAGAGAGTAGATCAGCAGATTTTCACCATTTTACTTGTGGAAGAAGAATAAGCATATTTGAATTAATCCACCTTAACACAGTTCTGAAATTATAGTTATCTTAAAATGTAGCAGTTCTTCTATACATCAATGCACTCTCCAAATAAAGAGAGACACTGAATCTCTCTCAGCTGTGGCTTATTTATCTTTTTTTTTGTCACTTTCCATTACCGTTCCAGGAAGTGAGATGTTGCCCACCAGCTAGTCAATTTTGGCATACTCTAATATAGTACCATCCTGGTTCTACAGTGTGGCAAGGTTTATCTGCTATTTCTCTTTAACTATTTTCGCCTTGGAGCCTTTCCAAATGTTTATTTTACATCATTTTATTTTGGGAGATGCTCAAATAAGGTATGGTTGGAGGGGCAGACAAACTAGACCAATGTAGAAAAAGCAGAAAAGTGAAAAACAACTTATGTTTGTTGCAGTCCTTTGACTGGTGAAATCTGGCTAGTGACACATTGAAAAAAGTAACAAAACCAGAGAGAAAAAACCAGATACCTTTCCCAGATGATAACACTTTAAATGACTCGGAACAGACATAAAAGTGGCAAGATACAGACCAATGAGGCAGCAAGTTTAATGTTTGTATTGTTTTGTAGGGTTGGTAGGACTCTAATTCACTAGAAAGAAGAAACCTTACAAAATAAATTCTCAGGGAATCTTATTCTCACTCTTGGTAGGAATTATAATCTAAGTATCAGGTTGAATTAACTTTTATTGGATAAATTTATTAATAGGATTTCTAGGATATGATACTGGTCAAGAAAAAAGAAGAGGAAGAACTGGGTGTGGACCAATAATGCACAGATCAAAAATAATAATATACTTATTCTGGGACAATTAACAGAAAAAAATACTATCCCTAATATATGAGATAATCCCATTCTAGTTAAATTATCCATTTTGTGATTTACAGTACATGAACAATACTGTGCAGACTTTGACTTGTCCATCCCTGAATTCTGGGAAGATTGTTTTAAGGAAATGGATTATAAATTTGCAAATTAAAATAAACAGAACTTTATTTATTCCATTTCTGTAGCTGCCCATCTTAACCCAATTGACTTCAATTAGTCATGACTATCTTTTCCATTGATTTACATAGGTCTATTGCAAGCTTAACCCAATCAAGGATTATTAGCAGCTTGAGGGTGTGTGTGGGGGAGAGATATAGGTAATCCTCGATTTACGACCACAACTGAACCCAACATTTCTGTTGTCAAGTGAGACATTTGTTATGTTAGTTTTGTCCCATTTTACAACCTTTCTTGCCTCAATTGTTAAGTGAATTACTGAAGTTGATAAGTTAGTAACCCTGTTGTTAAGTGAACCTGGCTTCCCCATTGACTTTGCTTGTCAGAAGATTGCAAAAGGGGATCACATGACCCCAGGACACAGCAACCGTCATAAATATGAATCAGTTGCCAAACATCTGAATTTTGATCACATGATCATGCAGATGCTGTAAAGGTCGTAACTGTGAAAAATGGTCATGCATTATTTTTTTCAATAGCTTGTAACTTTGAACGGTCACTGAATGAACTGTTGTAAGTCGAGAACTATCTGTACATTTTCCAGTTTCTAAAAACATGTCAGTGAATCCACAATGTGATGTAAAGATGATGCGACTGATAAAGGAAAACGATTTTTCTTCCATGTGCTGAGCAGCACCAGGCAACCTCCGAGGTATCCAAGGCTACCCTTCATTGCCTTCGATGGGTCGCTCCCGCTCCCTTAAAGAGAGCGAGATCTGGGGGAGGCGACATAGAGTAATTTAATAAGCGACAGCATGGGGAAGGGGGAGTCTTACTCTGCCGATAGGAAAGATGTGGGAAAATAAAAGGAGGAGGCTGCATTGCCTGGACGGGACCTCACCTCAGCCATGTCTGCAGGGAGGGGGCGATAGACAGCCCCGGCGCGTGAGAGGGAGAAAGAGAAGAGTCCCCTGGCCGAGCCGGGCGGAAAGTCTGTCTCCCGGCTGGGTCTCCGCAGCTGTGTACGCGGCCGCGCTCTCGTCTCTTAGCAACCTCCCCTCCCTCTCTCCTTTCCTTCTAGCGCCCCCTGGTGGGACACGTCAGGGATAGTTTACGCTCGGATGGACGCAGGGGTAGGCAACCTTGGCTCTTTTATGACTCGTGGACTTCAACTCCCAGAATTCCTGAGCCAGTCATAAAAGAGCCAAGGTTGCCTACCCCTGGGCTGGAGCTTGTGGAAGGCGGGAAAGAGACGGTGGCGCTGGGCCGCTTTTCTCTAGCGGGACGGAGAGGCTGGCTGTTACGCACGTGCACCCATCCCCATTTAGACTTTTGCTTCTTTTTTTTTTCTTTGTTTCCTGCTTCATACTCGCGTTTGCTTCTTATGTGGTGTGCTGCCCCTAGGATTGGGGGAAGGGAGGCATTTATGAAAACGACCGAATAAAATACATCCTATTAGGCAAAAGGTGCCGCAGCACCGAAAGAAATTGTTGCTTTATTTCAAGGGTTCTAGGCAGAGAGGGCTCCGATCCTGCAAGTTCCTCCCTTATAAATGTGGGCGGGAGGCAACCGCATGTCCGTGCAAAATCGAAGCACCTGATTCACATCGACCAGCACCAGCAACTTTACCTTTGTACGGAATGTATCCCGCCTGGCTGGGCTGGAGAGTTACAGCCGTTTTCCATTCTCTTCCCCGCATCCGGGTTTTAAAGCTACCTACGATTCGGAAGGTAGTTAAAGACTTTCATTATTAGCAGCCGTTAATATCCTGATTCTCCGCGAAGTCGTTTATTTACCATTTTAAGATTTTCCAGATTGATTACTGTTATCACAATTATAGACAATAGATGCTACTGTTTAATTACTTCTATGGCATAAAGCATTTATTTTTTGTCAAACTTGTTTGTCCTAGCAATTAGTCTCAAGGGATGTCCATGAGTTCTAACACTGTGAAGGGGGGGAACTATCCATTTTATTTATCTTACCTCTGAGTTTACACATTTCTGCCATGTCTTCTTTATACCATCCAAGGTAAAGACTTTAGTTGCTGTGTTGTTTTTTTCTTGTAGGAAAGTTCTTCATTCCTCTAATCAATTTTGTTGCTCTTTTTTGCATCTTTTCTAACTCAATATCCTCCTCTTTAAGATGCAATGACCAAATGTCAAACATTAAATAAGGGAAAATAGCAAATTATATTCACATAGGTTAAGAGTCTTTTTCTTCCCATCATATTTTATTAAGATAAACCCCCAAAATCTTAGAGCAAATTAAGTTTCAGAATAGGATAAGGGACAAAGAATCCTAAGCAGTAGATAGATTTCTTAAGTCTAGTGAGAATTTTCCCATGAAGGAGGAAAAATTGTGAGGAAGGAAGAAAACATTTTGGAGTGAATGGGGTGGGCAGAAGATATGAGCCAGGAAATTAGAAAAAACATAGGACCAATATTACCCTTAATCTTTGGGGGGGGGGATTCAGTTTTAAAGGGTTTAAATTTAACTGTAGAGGATAACTGGTTGCTGGAACAGGTTCTAATTAACATTTTTGAATTATTGCATAGCTTAGGATTATAAATGTTATAACCATCAGAATCTTTGGTTATTTCATATATTCTCTAATTTTTCATTTTTAAAAGAATTGTTAAAACTATTCTTACCTCTTTTGTATTTTATAAAACTAAATCCAGTGGAAGTAATTTCACTGAAATCCAAGACTCAAAAGTTTTTCTATGAAAAGAAACATTTTTTATTTATATGTATTTGTGCAATTTATAGGCAGACTTGCAGCTACTTACTTGAGCTTTTCTTTTTTCAGTGATTACTTCTATGCAGAGGTTTCTTGCAATATTTATTATCTCATCTACTTATGAATTTGTTGGTTTAAATAACGGCTATTTAAAAAACCAAGTTTATGGTCATAAATTTGTGCAAGCTTCTGCTAATTTTATGTAGGTGACACAAGGTCTATACTGAAATCAACATCTTACCCTGCTTCATCTGAAAAGAAAATATAGGGAAATCGTACTAAATTAGTATCAATCTGAAGCAGTCTTTTCAAATCCATTGCCCACTAGATTTACAACTGAGGGTATCATTCCCCAAATTAGCAGCCAACGTGGCCATGTTGACTGGGAATTCTGGAAGTTATACCATATAAATCTGAGAGCACTCCAGTTAGATAAAGGTGGTATGGAAACGATAAGAATTCTTGCTTCAGATGAAAATAAAAACATATACACATAAAAGAGCAATCATTGCTTATGATGAGATTTATTTTTCTACGTTTCTTCACTCTTTAAGCCTAGAATACAATCTTTTTGAGAAAATTGAACTCTCTAGGAGTGTGAAAATGAAGTAAACCTTTATGTCCAGCATAAAATGAAGCATGTAGACACATTATGCATGCTGTGAAGCCTCAAGAAATAAACTGCTACATAGTCACTGTATTATAAATAATATCCGAAATATTAACAATACTTTATAGCACAAATGTGGCCAATAAAATTCAGATGATGCATCTACAAGTTTTAAGCTAAATATATAATATCTATAATTTGGCAATATTGAAAGAACTACCAGGTAGGAGGCTTCATTGGCCATTTCCCAGATATAAACAATGAAACATTAAAACTTCACCCTAATTTCATCTACATATAAATCACTTGCAGGAGGAAATTATTCCCTTGTTAGCCATATTATAATAAAGAAATGCACTAGGTGGCACTATGTAACCATTAAATGATAGCAATTATGCTTAACTTTACCTTGTTTTTTCCTCACTCTTTCTTACTAAAATCATCCCAGATGCATAGGACTTACTTTATATAAATTGTTCTCCATCTTATTATTTTGGTGCTTGTTTAATCTGTACACCTTCATATACACAAAGCTGCAAACTGATGACAAGACCATATTATAACACCTTGATTGTGGGTGGTTTCAGAGGAAGAGTTCCCAGTTTTGCCTATTGAAGGTACTCTTCTAATTTAATTTCTTTAATAATTTGTGTATGTGGGACCAGAAACATAAAAAAGTAATTTAAAAGGGCAACAAGTAGAAGCCATCATCAGGAACCCCATATCTGTATGCATCTTTACAAATACCTTTAGATTATGCAAAGATAACACTTTATTTTTAATAGAATTGTTTCACTGAAGTAAAAGGGAAAGGTTTGTGCAGGGCTCCCAACAATGGAATCAAATAAATATAATACATTTTGGAAAAGCTTGAGATAAAGCTTTTGAAGAGAAATAATGTGAACATAAATAAATATTGTCTCATTGTAAGGAAAAAAGTCCGTCTTGGAAGAGCCTTCAACAACAACAGAGTCAAATTGTTTCCACTGAGCTGCTTGTTCAAACGCAAAACAAAGAGGATTTATAAAATATTGTAGCATTTCCTCTGAATCTGCATGGTGGACAATTTCACCCCGACTCTGCCATTGTTCCTCCAGTGGATCTGGGGAGGCTTTGAAAGCCTAGCACATTGGTCCTTGTATTCTCTGAAGGCAACTAGTGAGAGGTGATCACTGACAGGAGCACAGCTTTTTGCACATCTTCACTGGCCAACTGGAAGGAATACTGGTCAACTTTTCAGCAGCATCAGAGAGGTTCAGGCAGCCAAAGCACCCAAGGTTCTTTCTAGGACA